TGAGTTCCTGCTTTCAGATTCATCTGGGTATATACCCAGAAGTAGAATTACTGGATCATATGGTAATTCTATGTTTACTTTTTTGAGAAATTGCCGTATTGTTTTCCACAGTGGCTGTATCATTTTGTATTTCCACCACCAGTGTATAATGGATGCAGTTTCTCTACATCCTCTCCAACACTTTCTCATTTTCAGTTTTTGTTTCTTTAATAGCCATTCTAATGGGTATGAAGTAGCATCTCATTATGGTTTTGATTTACATTTCTCTAATGATGAGTGATGTTGAGCATCTTTTCATGCACTTTTTGGCCATTTGTATATCTTCTTTGAATAAATGACTATTAAGTCTTTTGGCATTTTTTTTTTCTTCTTCTTGAGACAGAGTCTTACTCCTAGGCTGCAGTGCAGTGGCATGGACTGTAACCTCCGCCTCCCAGGTTCAAGTGATTCTCATGCCGCAGCCTCCCGTGTAGCTGGGATTACAGATGTGTACCACCACGCCCAGCTTGTGTGTGTGTGTGTGTGTGTGTGTGTGTGTGTGTGTGTGGAGATGGGGTTTCACCATGTTGGCCAGGCTGGTCTCAAACTCCTGACATCAAGTGATCCCCTTGCCTTGGCCTCCCAAAGTGCTGGGATTACAGGCATGAGCCACGGCACCTGGCCCTTTGCCCATTTTTGAATTGAGTTGTTTGGTTTCTTGTTGTTGTAGTTCTTTATATAGCCTTTTGCCTTTTAGTGTTCTTTAACTAGAGACATTTTTTGCTTAACTTTCAAAGTGGCTTACTGGATTGGTTGTAGGACCAAATCTCTCATTTGTGTATGGCAGGTGTTGACTCTTCTAACCTCCTTTGTTGAATTTTAGTGTTGATGTTAAGGCATGATATTCTATTAACCTTCCAAATAATGAGCTTAATTTATTGATTCAGCCATTGTTGAATGGTGCCCTCTGGTTTTATATTGCTTATGAAAATTCTGGCAGCTCGTGAAGGGGATAAAATCACTTGTAGTATACCTAGTGTACCATATGTTATATGCATTTCATCCTCACAACTTATGAGATGGGTATTCTGCATTTTTCAGATGAAGTACTGTGGATCAGAGTTAAATGGAGTAAACTGCTCAAAATATGTATCTGATAGTTTACTAATGTGATATTTAACCAAGTTTTCTTCAAGTTTATTATTAATTTATGCACTGAACTGATTTTATAAAACTGTCACATGTAGGCTTGTATCTACTTTTTAAGAGTATAGCCATCACCATTTCATAATAGTTTTTAAAATTGTAGTTGTTCCTACTTAAGGACTATGTTTAATTTCTTCCTTTAAATATTATCCAGGTATGACTACAAATATTATCCAGGTTATGACTATAGAGAGCCAATTAGCCAAGTGATTGCGTGAAATCACCTTATCTTATTGCTGCCTTTAACATAGCTATATAATCCCATACACAACATTATTGCTGCCCAATAGAAATTTTAAAAGAAAATAAATATTTGAAGTTAATTTTAATATTTTTAATTTAATCCAGTATATCCAAAATATTGTATTTCAATGTGTAATTAAATATAAAAATCACTAGTGAGGTATTTTACATTCATTCCTTATATTAAGTATTTAAAATCCAGTGTGTTAAACTTACGACACATCTCAATTCACCCTTCCCACATTTCAAGTACTCAGTAGCCACATGTGAGTTGTGCCTAGGGGTATTAGACAGTGCTGATTAGGAGGTTTAAAATGCAACTCATAAATTTAATTCATCTCTTTGATCTCAGTAAATGACCCTTCTTTCTAGAGGTCATTGTACTATTCCTCTCTTCCTTACCCTCGACTTCAGACAATTTTATTGACTTTTGTCTTTTAAATTTTGTAAATCCATCTTTTTGTCTCCTGCCCTACCACTACCTCAGTTTGGAGATTCATATTCTCTTACGTGGACTATTGCAGTACCCTCTCAATTGGTCTTGCTATCTCTGCTTGTGCCTCATAAATTTCACTTCTGCTGTTATTAATTCTGATCCCCAAATCTTCTGCTTTGCAGTGAGAATGTCTGCCTAACTGAAAATCTCACCATTCTACTCCCCTACTTAATACTTTTCAGTATATTTTAGTGATTTCACATTATTTCAAATAAGTAGTCTGTGAGGTAAGATACCTATACCATCCTACACTATCACAAGGGATGCATACACAATTCTTTGGGAATGTAGGAAAAAGAAAGTAGATACCCTTTTCTCATATTCCTTTTAAAACTGCATATTTAGTATCTGTTTCTATGTACGTAACATAGAACATGTAAATTATTTATCAATAAATATATTCGCAGTCCCACATCACTCAGTGAGGGGATATGTTCTGAGAAATGCTTCATTAGGCGATTTCATTGCTGTGTGAACATCATCAACTGTACCTACCCAAACCCAGGGTGGTATAGCCTATTGCCCCTGGGCTGCAAATCTGCCCGGCATGTTACTGGTTTGAATACTATAGGTAATTGTAATACAGTGATAAGTATTTGTGTATTTAAACATACCTAAACATAGAAAAGGTAGAGTAAAAATACCTTGTAAAAGATTTTTTTTAATGATACACCTTTATAGGGCACTTTTCATGAATGGAGCTTGCAGGACTGGAAGTTGCTCTGGGTGAGTCAGTGAGTGGTGAGTGAATGTGAAGGCCTAGGACTTTACTGCACACTACTTTAGACTTTATAATCACTGTATACTTACGCTACACTAATTTATTTTAAAAAGATTTTTTCTTCTTCAATAATAAGTTGACCTTAGCTTACTATAACTTTTTTACTTCATAAACTTTTTAATATTCTCAAACTGTTTTAATCTTGTAATAATACTTGACTTAAAATGCAGACAATATTGGCTGGGAGCAGTGGCTCACACTTGTAATCCCAGCACTTTGGGAGGCCAAGGCGGATGGATCACTTGAGGTCAGGAGTTTGAAACCAGCCTGACTAACATGGTGAAACCCCATCTCTACTAAAACTACAAAAATTAGCCAGTCATGGGGATAGGCGCTTGTAATGCCAGCTACTCAGGAGGCTGAGGCAGGAGAATCGCTTGAAGCCGGGATTCTCAGTGAGCTGAGGTCGCACCACTGCACTCCAGCCTAGGGGATAGAGTGAGACTCTTTTAAAAAAAAAAAAAAAAAAAAAAAACATATTAATGGGTCCAAAAATACACTTAGATAGAATGAATAATATCTAGTATTTGGTAGTACAATAGGATGCTGTAGTTAACAACAATTGATTGTATATTTTAAGTAACTAGAGGAAAGGAATTGGAATGTTCCTAATACAAAGAAACAAAAAAGGCTTGAGATGATGGATACCCCGATTACCCTGATTAATCATTACACATTGTACAGCTGTACAAAAATATTTTCTTTATATCCTTAATTTTTTTTTTTTTTTTTAACTTTTGAAACTTTTTTGTTGAACACTGAGATGTGGCTGGGCAGGGTGGCTCACACTTATAACCCAACACTTTGGGAGGCTGAGATGGGAGGGATCACTTGAGGTCAGGAGTTCAAGAGCAGCCTGGGCAACATAACGAGACCCTGTCTCTACAAAAAAGAAAAGAAATTAGCCAGGCATGGTGACATGCACCTGTAATTCTAACTACTTGGAAGGTTGAGGTGGAAGGATCACTTGAGCACAGGAGGTTTAGGCTGCAGTGAGCCATGATGGCACCACTGCACTCTAGCCCAGGCAACAGAGTGAGACCCTGAATCCAAAGAAACCCCCCAAAACAGAAAACTGAGACAGGGGCCAGGCGCAGTGGCTCACGCCTGTAATCCCAGCACTTTGGGGGGCCAAGGCGGGTGGATCACCTGAGGTCAGGAGTTCTAGAACAGCTTGGCCAACATGATGAAACCCTGTCTCTACTAAAAATACAAAAATGAGCCAGGTGTGGTGGCGCACACCTGTAATCCCAGCTACTGGGGAGGCTGAGGCAGGAGAATCGCTTGAACCTGGGATGCAGAGGTTGCAGTGAGTAGAGATCACGCCACTGTACTCCAGCCTAGGGGATAGGGTGAGACTCTCTCTCCAAAAAAGAAAAGAAAACTGAGACACACTATCCTAGGCCTACAGGGAGGTCAAGATCATCAATATCACTGTCCCCTACCTCCACATCTTGTCCCACTGGAAGGTCTTTAGGGGCAGTAACACACATGGAGCTGTCATCTCCTGTGATAACAATGCATTCTTCTGGATACCTCCTGAAGGATTGCCCGAGGCTTTTTACAGTTAACTTTTAATTTATAATTTGAAGAAGTACGCTCTAAAATGATGAAAAGTATAGTTTAGTAAATACAGAAACCAGTAACATAGTCATTTATTATCATTATCAAGTATTATGTACTGTCCATAATTGCATTTGCTAGACTTTTATAGGACTGGCAGAGCAGTAGGTTTGTTTGCCAGCATCACCACAAACATGTGAGTATTGCATCATGCTATGGCATTATGATAGTTACTACCTCACTAGGCAATGAGAATTTTTCAATTCCATTGTAATCTTATTGGACTACTGTTGTATATGCGGCCCGTCATTGACTGAAATGTCCTTCTGTGGCAAATGACTGTAGTTTTAATTTCAGTAAAAAACCTATAATCTACATAGAATACGAAAAGATAAGTATGTTAGCTATACAAGGGCAAAGTTTTTGTGTTTTTTCACTGACTTATTCTCAGTGTCAATAACAGTATCTGGCATAGAATAGTAACTGGTCAATAAATATTTGTTGAATAAATAAATAAATGATGTGCATAGAAAAACACTCTAACTTCATACTTTATTAGGCCTTTAAGGCAAAAAGTAAGTTTAAGTAAACATTTTCTCATCTCTATTCAATTTAAATTTTTGACACCCGAAGTAAAAGTTAAATTACTGTCTTCTTGAATTATCTTACAGAGATTTGTAAAGGAAGTCTCTAATATGTATAATGGAGTAAAAAAACTTTTTTCCCTTCTAGTAAACGAAGCAAAAAAGGAGATAAAAATGGGAAAGGCTTGAGACACTTTTCAATGAAGGTGTGTGAGAAAGTTCAACGAAAAGGTACAACATCATACAATGAAGTCGCTGATGAGCTGGTGTCAGAGTTCACCAATTCAAATAACCATTTGGCTGCTGATTCGGTAGGTAGATCATGAACCTGACATTGATTTTGATGGATGATGGTATCTCTTTGTGTTATCTTTGTTATAGATTTGAGGAATCAGGTAAGCTAGATGAACAATTATACTTGAGGGTTTCATCCTTTATTTTGGGGGATTTTTTGTTGTTGTTGAGTTTTATTTTGGAGGGAATTCTTTTTTTTTTAGATGGATCCTCGCTCTGTCGCCCACGCTGGAGTTCAGTGGTGCGATCTTGGCTCACTGCAACCTCTGCCTCCCAGGTTCAAGCTCTTCTTGTGCCTCAGCCTCCCGCGTAGCTGGGATTACAGGCGCACACCACCATTCGCAGCTAATTTTTGTACTTTTAGTAGAGACAGGGTTTCACCATGTTGGCTAGGCTGGTCTCAAACTCCTGACCTCAGGTGATCCACCTGCCTCGGCCTTCCAAAGTGCCGGGATTACAGGCGTGAGCCACTGCACCTGGCCTTAGTTGCATTTTTTTGTTTTAACATTTAAAAAATATTTGGCATGGTGGCTCACGCCTGTAATCCCAGCACTTTGGGAGACTGAGGTGGGCGGATCACGAGGTCAGGAGATCGACACCATCCTGGCTAACACTGTGAAACCCTGTTTCTACTAAAAATACAAAAAAATAGCCAGGCATGGTGGCACGTTCCTGTAATCCCAGCTACTCAGGAGGCTGAGGCAGGAGAATTGCTTGAACCTGGGAGGCAAACGTTGCAGTGAGCCAAGATCTCACCACTGCACTACAGCCTGGGCAACAGAGCAAGACTCTGTCTCGGAAAAATAATAATAATAACATTATTATTATTACAGTTATTTTTATTACTTTAAATAAATATTGTGCTGAACCCTTTATTATTATTTAATCTGCTTTGAATAACATCCATATCCCTTCCAATATCAAAAAGAGGAAATTGGCATACCTACCACATTGCCTCCTCCCAGGACTTGTTGTTACAGGATCATTGTTTCTGCAGGGTCAACATTTCTTTTTTTTTTTTTGAGACAGAGTCTAGCTTTGTCACCCAGACTGGAGTGCAGTGGCACAATCTTGACTCACTGCAACCTCCGTCTCCTGGATTCAAGAGATTTTCCTGCCTCAGCCTCCCAGGTAGCTGGGATTACAGGCATGTGCCACCACGCCCAGCTTAGTTTTGTATTTTTTAGTAGAGATGGGGTTTTGCCATGTTGGCCAGACTGGTCTTGAACTCCTGACCTCAGGTGATCCGCCCGCCTCAGCCTCTCAAAGTGGTGGGATTACAAGCATTGTCAAGATTTCTAATCATTGTCAAGATTTCTAATCATTGTCAAGATTTCTAATATCTATTGATGTTATTGTCAAGATTTCTTGCCTATTGTCAAGATTTCTAATATTTACATTCAGTTCTATAACTTAAATCCCCCACTTACTTAGATCTAGTTTTATATTTAGGTGGATTCAGTGTTCTCCACCATCCTTTATTATCATTGCATTTCCTGAGGACCTTGTTCCACGTTGTAAACCAACATGGTTTCCTTCATTGAGTAAGTCTTTCTATCAAAAAAAATAGAAGAAAAAGGCCAGGTGGGTGACTCACGCCTGTAATCCCAGCACTTTGGGAGGTCAAGGCGGGCAGATCACGAGGTCAGGAATTTGAGATCAGCCTGGCCAATATGGTGAAACCCCGTCTCTACTAAAAATACAAAAATTAGCTGGGTGCAGTGGCACGCGCCTGTAGTCTCAGCTACTCAGGAGGCTGAGACAGAAGAGTCACTTGAACCTGGTAAGTGGAGGTTGCAGTGAGCTGAGATCGCGCCACTGTACTCCAGCCCGGGCAACAGACCGAGACGCTGTCTCAAAAAAAAAAGAAGAAAAATGGTCAACTGAACTGAATGAACAGTGTCCATTGTCATATAGAGGATTATATTTTGGTGCAAGTTCCTAATCTCATTGTAGATTGGAGACAATTTGCAGATCAACAGTGGTCAAGGAACACATTTTGAGAAGCACAGTTTTACCCAGAACTTGAATAAATGTCCTTGATTTTTTTAAGTCTAAAATCCTCCCAGATAATGCAAGGGCTTAGAACACTTTACCTCCAATATGTTTTTCTGTTAATATATACTATTTATTGTCATGTATATTAATTAAGTTCTGTATTTATTCTAGCCTCCATAAGACATTATTATTGTTTTATACAGTGAAAATTGAGATTTACCCACATATTTACCTTTTGGATTGGTCTTCATTCTATCCTACATCTCTAAGCTCCCATCTTAGATGATATTTCTTCTACCTGAAGAAATCCCTTTAGTATATTTCAGTGTAGATCTGCAGGTAACATGATCTTTATTTTTAAGATTATTTTGTTTTATATTGTTTGAAAGTATTTTTATTTCATCTTTAATTTTGAAGGATATTTTCACGGAATATAGAATTCTTTTGGATGTCTTTGTCAGTTTGCTAAATAAAAAAATAGAATCCTTCCAGCACTTTGAAGACGTAATATTAATTTGACATATTAATATCATGTGACTGTATCTTAACCCTTAATTATCACTCAATGAAAATGTTTTTTAGCAGGCTTACGATCAGAAAAACATTAGGCGAAGAGTTTATGATGCTTTAAATGTGCTAATGGCAATGAACATAATTTCAAAGGAAAAAAAAGAAATCAAGTGGATTGGCCTGCCTACCAATTCTGCTCAGGAATGTCAGAATCTGGAGGTAAGTGAGAAAATCTGTTTATGAATAGCTTTTTGTATTATTTTACATCAGAGGCATTTTAATTTAAAAATGTAATTGTAATATAAAATATTTCCAATTTTTCATGTATACTATGTCATTTTTTAACAGACTGTAGAATTTTAGAATTGGAAGGTGCCTTATAGGTATAGTCTACAGTTTAATTTGTAAATGATGAAACTGAGGGATATAAAAGTTAAATAACAGTTTGATTTTACTGTTTCTTAGAGAAGATTTTTATTTCATTCTAAGTTAATTCTGAGCACTCTACTAATAAACTTTTGGTGAAATGGTATCTTATTTGATAAGATGCTTGCTGTATGTATCCAAAAAAAAAAAAAAGGATCAAGCTGGCTGTTGATTTCCTTTATTGGTTACACAATATTCTGAATATAGCTGTGAAAGTCAGACTTTTGCATTTGACTTTAGAAATAATAGCAACAGAATGAATAGTGTTTCGTTTGTGTCTTTACCAGAATGAATAGAATTTTGGAATTATGTATGCAGAAGCATTTTAAGTTCTGTTAACTTTAAGCATTATAGAAAATTCTTTCTACATGAGCATGTTCCCTGACATACTGTTTCTAAATTGACATGACATAATTTTACTACCATGACCATAAATGGAATAAACTGAGGTTAAATACGGCTTTGGGGCCAGGCGCAGTGGCTCACGCCTATAATCCCAGCACTTTGGGAGGCCAAGGTGGGTGGATCACCTGAGGTCAGGAGTTCAAGCAGCCTGGCCAAAATGGTGAAACCCCATCTCTACTAAAAATACAAAAATTAGCCAGTGGCGGACGCCTGTGATCCCAGCCACTGGGAAGGCTGAGGCAGGAGAATCCTTTGAACCCGGGAGGCAGAGGTTACAGTGAACCAAGATGATGCCATTGCACTCCAGTCTAGGCGATAAGAGCAAGACTCCATCTTTAAAAAAATGTATATATATGTGTGTGTGTGTGTATATACATATAGCTTTGGGAGATAATTAAGATTGGTTTTCTGTTTTTCTCAGTCTTTTTTCTCCCCAGCAATTCAGTTATTTGGTATTATTATACTTATGGATGGAGAGAGAAACCAGATATTCATCAGAAGCTATATAATATTTTTCATATGCTACAGTGGAAATATCCTCCTTTTCTCGTTTTTCTTCCTTCTGATAGAGTGGAATTTGAGCATCATTTTCATGAGTAATATTGAGCTTATACTAAAGACTTACTAAGCAAAAAAACCTATTCACATCTACCTTGTGCTTAATCACAGGTTATACAAGGCAAATCTCTGAACCCAAGGAACTGTCATTCTAACTGGGGAGAAGAGAAATGTAAAAGAGTTAACCAAAAATGTGATTACTCCTATGAAAGAAATGTACAGATTCTCTGCAAAGAGGGATGGGGGAGGGCTTTACCAAGGAGATAATCCCAGAGCTCAGGCATGAGGTGGGAGTAGTTTGCCAAGTGGATACGGGTGGGGAGGGCCTTCCAGGCAGAGGCGCTGCATGGGCTGAGACAGGCGTGAGAAAGCTTGCCTGGAGCTGGGTGTGGCTAGGGAACAGGCATTTAGAAAGATGGATAGATATCTAAGTGTTAAGCAGTGGGGACCTGATCCTGTAAACAAAGGGAAGCAGTTGATAAATTACAAAGAGAAGGGTTGATAGGATGTTTTTTGAAGGATCACTCTGCCAGTGGGTTGGAAGTAAAATTAACAGGTAGGGAAGGAAATGGAATGGAGGAGGGGGATTAGAGATGGTCTGAGTTAACAGCAGTGGCCATGAGATTGGAGAGGTGTTATAGAGGTAGAATCGGTGTGGCTTGACCTAGTTGGATGAGGGACAGATAAGGGGCCTTGCTTGTCAGAGCTTCTGATAAAGGGATGCTCCTACAACATCTTTTCCAATGTAGAACGCCACACAGATTTTACGTGAATCTTAAGTAATTTAAAAGTAAAACGTGGTGGATAGAGGAATCATGAATGGAAACTCCCTAGTATAAACTAGACTGGATGCGGAGCAAGTAAGAGATAATCTGCTGAAGCAGAAAAGAAAAATGTCTTATTTGATGATCGAAAGACAAAATTGTAACAAATTTAAAGATCTTAATTGTCTTTTATTTGTGATTCTAGAATCTGGCAACACCTCACTAGTAAGTAGAATGAGTGTTCCTATAAGCTGAGCAGAAGAGGTTGAACATTATTCAGTGTTTTAAAGATAGAGAAGCAGCAAAGGCAGATAGAGGCAGAAACAGATGAAAAAGCAGACTGGACATTTCAATGTCACTTTCCTTGTAAGGGTAAAACAGAGAAGACTCTCTTATGCCAGCTGCAACTGGCCTGTTTGGGTAGTTTACTATTCTGTCTTTCTCTCCTGATTTCCTAGGTCAGATAAACAACTTAGTTTTGGCCTGGTGGCATGGAACTTCAGCATGAGTGACTCCATTTTAGTTTGGTCTGTTGGGGCCTAGTGCAGGAGCTCAGTCCAAACCAATGGGCTCCTGTAAATTTTCTTTCTTTTTTTTTTTTTTGTTTTGAGTTGGAGTTTTGCTCTGTCACCCAGGCTGGAGTTCAATGGCACGATCTTTGTCAGCTCCTGCAACCTCCACCTCCCAGGTTCAAGCAATTCTCCTGCCTCAGCCTCCCAAGTAGATGGGATTACTGGTGCCTGCCACTATGCCTGGCTAATTTTTTTTTTTTTTTTTTTTTTTTTTTTTTTTTTTTTAGTAGAGACAAAGTTTCACTTTATGGGCCAGGCTGGTCTCTTGGCCAGGCTGCTCTCGAACTCCTGACCTCGTGATCCGCCCACCTTGGCCTCCCAAAGTACTGGGATTACAGGCGTGAGCCACCACTCCCGGCCATAAATTTTCTTAATAGATGTCTTTGGCTTTTGCCCAAGGAGACAGTGAGGAACTCAACTGCAAGGAAGTTCAGACCCTAAGTCTGTTTTCTTTAAGTAGTTATCAGATTGAGAAAAAAAAAGCAGTGGTTTGAAGCTGGAAAATTTGTCCAATAAGCATGTTTCTTTTTTTTTTTTTTTTTTTTTGAGACAGGGTCTTGCTTTGTTGCCCAGGCTGGAGTGCAGTGGCGTGATCTCGGCTCACTGCAACCTCCACCTCCCGAGTTCAAGCAATTCTTGTGTCTCAGCCTCCCAATTAGCTGGGACTATAGGCGCGCGCCACTACACACGGCTTTTGTATTTTTTGTAGAGACGGGGTTTCGCCATGTTGGCCAGGCTGGTCTCAAACTCCTGATCTCAAGTGATTCTCCCACCTTGGCCTCCCAAAGTGCTGGGATTACAGGCGTGAGCCACTACGCCCAGCCTACCATGATGTGTGAGATATCTGTATGATCAGCTGTCCTCATTGAAGAGTCAGCTAAACTGAAATTGTAAATAAGATCTTGCCTTATTCTCAGAGGAGTAATATAACAAAGTAATTAATAATAGAGTCCCTGTAGCCAGAGGGTTTAGGTTCAAATCTTGACTCTTGCCATTCACTAGCTGCGTGACATTGGGTAGTTACTCAAGCCCTCTATGCCTCCATTTCCTTCGATGCAAAGTGGATAACAGGACTTAACTCATAAGGTTTTTGTGAAGATGAATTAAGATAATGTGTGTAAAATGCTTACTTTTGTGTTGGCAGATAGAGTAAGTATAAACTAAGTGGTACTATTACTTTGATTAGAACTTGAATAATAATTGCAACAAGTACTGCTAACAAGTATTCATTAAGTATATGATTTCATTTTTGATGACAGTTGCCACAGATCTGATGTTGTGCCTACTTGTTCACTCCAACCCCTGCCCCCTACAAAGATATGATTTGTCTTTATTCATATTGTTAAAATGGGTTGAGTTTCTCTAGGGAAAATGGTTATCTCAGAATAGGGACCTGGAAAGTGAATGATACTTTATACTCTACCTGTGTTCATATTATTTTGTAACCAATGTTTTAAAGATAGAGAAGCAGAGGCGGATAGAACGGATAAAGCAGAAGCGGGCCCAGTTGCAAGAACTTCTTCTACAGGTAAAGATGCCACGATGTTTTCATTACCTTCCCTATTTCTCCACTTCCTGCCTTTTGGAGTCAGTGTGTTTTCTAATTGTGGTGCCTCTGAGTAGTGTGTGGTGAGCCCACGGCAGAGCAGCCTCTCTTACCTCCTAGCTTGTTGCCATCCACGTGCTTTGCCTTAAGATGGTCCCATCTGTTGCCATCATCTCAGCTCCACAGCAGCTTCCCTGCCCTGTGTATGACTTACACCAGGCAGCAGTTCACCGTTGACACTCAGGCCTCTCCAAACATAAACTGTCAGGTGTCTTTTTGTGTTTGTTAGTTTTAACCCGAATTTGGAATATCCACTAGTGAAGCTAGTTAAATTTTATGTGCTTCAAGTACAGTAATCAAATCTGCCTGTAATACTTATCAGTAAATGACAGAATGGCATGACATAATTCAGTAAGATTTTTGTTGTTGTTGTTTTTTGAGACTGAGTCTCACTCTTTCACCAGGCTGGAATGCAGTGGTGCGATCTTGGCTCACTGTAACCTCTGCCTCCTGGGTTGAAGCCATTCTCTGCCTCAGCCTCCCAAGTAGCTGGGATTACAGGTGCCCACCACCACGCCTGGCAAATTTTTTCGTATTTTTAGTAGAGATGGGGTTTCACCATCTTGGCCAGGCTAGTCTTGAATTCTTGGCCTTGTGATCCACCCGCCTCAGCCTCCCAAAGTGATGGGATTACAGACATGAGCCACCGCACCGGGTCTAATTCAGTAAGATTTATAGAAATACCAAAACTTAGGCTGGTGATATAGATATATATATATATAGATATAAATATATATATTATATATACATCATATATAATAATAATATATATGATGTATATATATTTATATACATCATATATATTCTATATAATTAATAATGTTTTGTTTGAAGATAATATTGTGCAGCTTTAAAAAAAAAAAGCTGAAACGGACAGTTTATTCCTATGCTCCTGCCTGTAGAATTCTACCAAACCCTCCTCCTTGAACTCCCGTGCTGCCATCTTCTTCCCCCTGGCTGCCTCTCTGTTGTCCCTATCCCTGCATAGTTATCTGCAGTATCCCCTAGCAGCTCGTGCCCCAAACCCTGTGCTGGGGCCTTCCTGGAATTTCCTCAAAACCATGGAACATTTTGGAGCTTAATTTTTTGGCATGTTATTTTTAAAAACCTGTTTATCAGCATGCCTATAGTTATCTGCCTATCAGAAAGAATGGTGCTGGGCAAGATCACCCTCATGTGTGTAGGACTTTCCCATCTCTAGATGCCTGATGCAAAGAATGAAACTGAATATTTTTTCCCTGTTTACCTCTGTACCATGAACATTGTTCTTTTATTTTTTAAAGTCCTGAACTTCTTTTCCTCTACTGTCTCTCAAACGAAATATTTATAGAAGATTTCCACCCAGGGGCAACCTGGCTGTCAACATTTATAGAAACAGGTCTCTCTAAACATTAAAGTGAAACCCAAAGTATAACTTAAAACAACTTGTGGTCTTCTGGTAAACATAAAACTTATTTCCAAAGGCCGGGCACGGTGGCTCACGCATGTAATCCCAGCATTTTGGAAGGTGGAGGCGGGCAGATCACTTGAGTTCAGGAGTTCGAGACCAGCCTGACCAACATGGAGAAACCCTGTCTCTACTAAAAATACAAAAAATTAGCCAGGCATGGTGGCACATGCCTGTAATCCCAGCTACTTGGGAGAGCCTGAGGCAGGATGATCCCTTGAACTCGGGAGGCAGAGGTTGTAGTGAGCCGAGATCGCCCCACTGCACTCCAGCCTGGGCAACAAGAGCGAAACTTCATCTCAAAAAAAAAAAAAGTATTTCCTCCTAGCATTTCAGTTTTTTTCCTTTCATCAAATAAATGAAGTTGTCATAGAAAGTAAATTAAGCAGCCGGGCGCGGTGGTTTATGCCTGTCGTCCCAGCACGTTGGGAGGCCGAGGCGGGCAGATCACAAGGTCAGGAGTCCGAGACCAGCCTGACCAACATGGTGAAACCCCATCTCTACTAAAAATACAAAAAGCCAGGTGTGGCAATGCACACCTGTAATCTTAGGTACTCAGGAGGCTGAGGCAAGAGAATCACTTGAACCCGGGAGGCGGAGGTTGCAGTTAGCCGAGATTGCACCACTGCACCCCAGCCTGGGCAAAAGAGCAAGACTGTCTTTTAAAAAAAAAAAAAAAAAAGTAAATCCATTTGTTGTGGCTAAGCTCACTTGATTTTTTTTTTAATAAGCTAATGTCATAACTCACTCATGTCACATGACACAGGTAACTATTACCTACTTGCTACCACCTCTCTTTTATTTTTGGTAATGCAGTAGAAGAATGGTGTGAGTAAAGCAAACCTGTAGATAAACCCAATATCCTACTTTTATCTCTATAATTGCCCCTTCCAGCCCTTAAACCTTTTCCATAACAAACGCACAGGAAAATGAATGAACACACTTAAAGGTGTTCAGCCTCTGAAATAGATGTTAATGAGTTTGAAAAAGAAAAAAAGGCCAAAGGAAATCATTCAAAGGGCAACAAATAAGTCCGTTCAAAATAAGTGGGAAATTATTTTTCCTTTTTCTATCCAAAATAACGTTATGTGGTATATGAAATTTATGACAATGTTAATAAAAACAACATTATGACCAGGTGCAGTGGCTCATGCCTGTAATCCTAGCACTTTGGGAGGCCAAGGCAGGCAGATCACAAGGTCAGGAGTTCGAGACCAGCCTGGCCAATATGGTAAAACCCCACCTCTACTAAAAATACGAAAATTAGCTGGGCATGGTGGCGGGTACCTGTAGTCCCAGCTACTTGGGAGGCTGAAGCAGGAGAATCATTTGAACCTGGGAGGCGGAGGTTGCAGTGAGCCAAGATCGCACCACTGTACTCCAGCCTGGGCGACAGAGCAAAACTCCATCTCAAAAAAATAATAATAATAATAAACATTATGTTTTTACTGCTCTCCTCACTTGAAAAACCACTGATACTATTAAATGTGCACAGCATTAAACAGTGAATCACAAATACATAAGGGTCATTAGTTATCACTGCTTATATTCCCCCATATACCGAGGTCCTCTTGTGGCACTAGGGACACCAGGCTAGGCAAAGTGTAGGAACACCTCTTGAGATGTGTATTCTAGTAAAAGGGAAGAGAAGTTATGCAGGAGTATGTAAGCATTTAATTCTTTTTCTCAGTTCCACAGCTTAATCATAACTTTTCCTCATTATTAAATGAATTAAGCAATAAATTAGTTCTTTAGCAACAGAAAATAATGAAGCATAACCTCAATAATGTTTGGTAATGATACTGACAGTGCTAGTTATTGATAGTGATTTTTGGACACACTTAGGTCTACAATAAATTGTTGTTCATTATTTTTGGTGCATTTCAAAGAGTAGATGCTCCCTTTTTGGGGAGATAGCACTCAGCCATTTTAAGATAATAGTAATCTTTTTCTTTTCTTTTCTTTTCCTTTCTTTTCTTTTCTCTTTTCTTTCCTTTTCCCCTTCCCTTTCCCCTTCCCCTTCCCCTTCCCCTTCCCTTCTTTCCTTTTTTTCTTTTTTCTTTTCTTTTTCTTCTTGAGAAAGGGCCTCTGTTGCCCAGGCTGGAGTGTAGTGGCACAGTCATAGCTTACTGCATCCTCGAACTCCTAGGCTCAAGAGAACTTCCCACTTTGGCCTCCCAAAGTGCTGAGATTACAGGTGTGAGGTACCATGCCTAGCCAATAATAGTAATCTTACTGAAACTTTAGTTAAGGCCCAGAACCTGAAATAAACAATACTGATCATAAGATTGCTAAAATGTAAAAAATAAATTTATCACTACAGGGTGACAAGATATAACAAGCTAATGAAGGGGAATGAATGGCTCTGACTTGAGGAACTTTTAAAACATTATTTCTTGACCAGATGAAAAACTTGAACCGCATATAGTCTAGCTATGAAATTCTGTCATACATTTGCCTTATTTAAAAAAGTTATAATGATAACTTATTTGTTTGTGTGTTTGTTTGTTGGTTGGTTTTTCTGAGACAGAGTTTTGCTCTTGTTGCCCAGGCTGGAGTACAATGGTGCGATCTCGGCTCACTGCGGCTTCCGTCTAAAAGGGAGATCACTTTCTTTGGCTTTTGAGTAATGGTTATTAACTAAAAGTAGCAGCAAGATCCAGTAAAAAGATTTAGGCCTTGATGTATCTTATAATTAGCACTGAGCCTCAGTTACCTCATCTAGAAGTGTCAGGTTGGGGAAGGCTGGGGCTGGATTCCAGACTGTGCCCAGAGGATGCTGAGAAGTTCTGTGGAGGTACCTTAGAAACCATGTGGCTGTGCTTGAGGGCTGAGGTGGCAGAGTTTAGGACCTGGCCTCACTGCAGCCAGCCTGAACAGTGCCACTTCCATCTGTTTTACATGAGTTTTTTTGTTTTGCTTTGTTTTTTTGAGACAGGGTCTCATTCTGTCAGCCAGGCTGGAATGCAGTGCTATGATCTCTGCTCACAGCAAATTCTGCCTCCTGGGTTCAAACAATCCTCCCACCTCAGCCTCCTGAGTAGCTGGGACTATAGGCACATGCCACCATGCCCAGCTAGTTTTTGTATTTTTTGTAGAGATAGGGTTTTGCCATGTTGCCCAGGTTGGCCTTAAAGTCCTGGCCTCAAGCAATCCACCTGCTTTGGCCTCCCAAAGTGTTGGAATTACAGGCGTGAGCCACTGTGCCCGACCTCCAGTGATATTTTATTTGAAGAAAGGATTTTGTGACTTTAAAATGTTTGCATATCCCTGGGCTAGACATCCTAAAGGGCATATTTGACCCCAAACTCTCAGGAGTCTGTGTTAGATAAATGGTATGACCCTTCCTGTGTCGTTTGCTGAAGAGTTCCAGGTGCCTGCTGGTTCTCTACCAGATTGTGAGGTTCTGTTTCTATGGATGATGGAAAAATGTATGTATTGAGTTAGATCATTCTTTCTGAAATGTTTAATTTTTTAAATTAATTCATTAGTGCAGGTGGGCTTTCTCTTTAAACTCTCTAATTTTAAGCTGTATTTTAAAGGTATTATCTTAATTCTTTTAAATTCCAACTCACTTACGCACATTTGACCACATTCTTTTTATTGATCATTACAGCAAATCGCTTTCAAAAACCTGGTACAGAGAAATCGACAAAATGAGCAGCAAAACCAGGGCCCGCCAGCTCTGAACTCTACCATTCAGCTGCCATTCATAATCATCAATACAAGCAGAAAAACAGTCATAGATTGCAGCATCTCCAGTGACAAGTGAGTGAAGAACTAGGGATGGGTGCAGGACTGGCCTTCTGTTAACATTTTCATATCATTTGCAAACTCAAGAAGGATGCACTTTATTATCTGCACCCCTCCAAGGCTGGCTTCCTTGGGGCATATGAAACACCTCCTGAACCATGGGTGCAATCTTGCACTAGTGTGTGCTCCAACCCTCACCCTCTGTGGTCCCCTGTCTTGTGCCAGGCACTGTGCTGTTTGTATTATATGTGTGTGGCGGTGTCTGGGCCCAACCTATGACATGCTGCATGTATGTGGTAAGTCTGAGCAAATAACTGTGATAAGTTAGCCCAGCACTGTGGGTCTGGGACAAGGTAGATTCATTGGTGATTCACTGTCACAGTTTATTATGGGAAAACTGTAGGTCAACATGTGGCATTAAACCAATTATTTCTTTGTTTTGCTATATCATAGTTATGCATGCTTCTGTTTATTAATGAATGTATGAATAGACATGAAAATGCTGGCACATTCTTTGCTTTCTTTAAATTGTGTTTTTACATTTTAACGAAGATCAATGATAATATTCATCATGGCAAATAAGAAGTAGCACTTTTTAAAATATAGAATTAATTTGTGATGTATTTTACCATTCATGAAAAAGTTTCTCTCAGTGGTCTTCAGGCTGTGACCAGTACCATAAAAGAGTTAAGAGTATATATAGGGTGCAGAGTGAGACGGATGCATGTACCAGTTGTGGCTCCCCCACTTCGCTGCTGCAAAGCTCTGTTTTCTCAAGAACAAATAGGAATGATACTGGGGCCCCTGTCACTTCCCAGCCTTGTTTTGAGGATTAAATAAGTTAATGTCTATGATGACTTGAGGTAAGCATTTTTTAAATGTTAGCTGCTGTTACAAAAGGTCAGCCTATAATTTATTGTTCAAATTGGGATTTATTAATGCAAAAGAAGACTCTAATAATTGCATCGGTACCACAGGCATACCCCAGAACTGTCCCAGGGAGACCAGAACCTCCGGTCTCCTAGAGCCGTGACATTGCCCTTGGGCTTCACTGTCACTTGTTTTCCCACTCTTCTTCCTGGCGCTCTTACGCCCCCTGCCGGTCTCTGTTGTGTCCAGAGATTCCGGGCCACTTCAGTAAGAAGGCACACACACAAAAGAAGAGTCGTAGGGGCGCGGTGGTTCACACCTGTAATCCCAGCACTCTGGGAGACTGAGGCTGGTGGATCACCTGAGGTCAGGAGTTCGAGACCAGCCTGGCCAACATAGTGAAACCCTGTCTCTACTAAAAATAGAAAAATTACCCAGGCTTGGTGGCGCACGCCTGTAGTCCCAGCTACTAGGGAGGCCAAGGCAGGAGAAATGCTTGAACCTGGGAGGCAGGGGTTGCAGTGAGCCAAGACTGTGCCACTACACTCCAGCCTGGATGACAGAGCAAGACTCTGTCTCAAAAAGAAAAAAAGAAAAAGAAAGAAAAGCAGCAGGAATTTCAGAACTATTTGATAATTGAGACTATAGACACAAAAGGAAATAGTAGAGACTGTGTAGCTTATGAAGTAAACCAGACCAACATATTTAAGAGTGGATTCTTGGCCGGGTGCGGCAGCTCATGCCTGTAATCCCAGCACTTTGGGAGGCCAAGGCGGGTGGATCACCTGAGGTCAAGAGTTTGAGACCAGCCTGGCCAACATGGTGAAACCCTGTCTCTACTAAAAGTACAAAAATTAGCATGGTGGCTCACACCTGTAATCCCAGCTACTCGGGAGGCTGAGGTGGGAGAATCGCTTGAACCCAGGAGGCAGAGGTTGCAGTGAGCCAAGATTGCGCCACTGCACTCCAGCCTGGGCAACAAGAGCAAAACTCCGTCTCAAAAAGAAAAAAAAAAAAAAAGAGTGTATTCTCACTGTTCTTGCTATTGCCCAGGCTGGAGTGCAGTGGCTGTGTACAGGCATGATCATAGCTCACTGCAGCCTCAAACTCCTGGGCTCAAGCGGTCCCCCTGCCTCAACCTTCCTTGTAGCTGGGACTGCAGGTGCACACCTCCTTGGCCATCTAAAGCTGATCCATTTTTTAATCTTCTTAAGTTTCTTTTTTTTTTTTGAGATGGAGTCTTGCTCTGTCTCCCAGGCTGGAGTGCAGTGGTGCAATCTTGGCTCATTGCAGGCTCCACCCTCTGGGTTTACGCCATTCTCCTGCCTCAGCCTCCCGAGTAGCTGGGACTAGAGGGGCTCGCCACCATGCCTGGCTAATTTTTTGTATTTTTAGTAGAGACAGGGTTTCACTGTGTTAGCCAGGATGGTCTCGATCTCCTGACCTCGTGATCTGCCTGCCTCAGTCTCCCAAAGTGCTGGGATTACAGGCATGAACCACCATGCCCAGCCTCTTCTTAAGTTTCTTAACCTCTCTGAGATTGTGTTCCTTTCTCCACAAAAATAAGAATTACAGAATTTACCTTGCCAGTTTCAAAAAGTTATGGATAAATTAATATAGAACCCAGCCCAGTGGTCAGTAAGTGGTAGATATCTGAATTATTTTCCACACACTTGCAAATTCTTTATAAATATATGTCAGAGAGGACCATTAACAGTCTCAGAAAACTGAGAATTCAGGCCGGGCGTGGTGGCTCACGCCTGTAATCCCAGCACTTTGGGAGGCCAAGGTGGGTGGATCACAAAGTCAGGAGTTCGAGACCAGCCTGACCAACATGGTGAAACCCCATTTCTACTAAAAATACAAAAATTAGCCAGGCGTGGTGGCACGCGCCTGTAATCCCAGCTACTCAGGAGGCTAAGGTAGGAGAATCGCTTGAATCCAGGAGGCAAAGGTTGCACTGAGCCAAAATTGTGCCACTGTACTCTAGCCTGGGCGACAGAGCAAGACTCCGTCTCAAAAAAAAAAAAGAAAAGAAAAAAAGAAAACCGAGAATTCTAGAAAATGGTTAGCATCTTTTCAGATAAAAAACACAAAACTTACCATTCTAGTTACTCTCTCTAGTTAGTCTCTTGTTTTGTATGGAGAATTATAAAACTATCTTCTTAGGTTAGTCTCTTAAGTCCAAAAAGAATGACAGGAAAATCTGGGAATCATTGGCCTAGGGGAATTATGGACACTGTTGCCCCAGGCTGGAATCTGGTGAGGCTTCCATCTCTTGGGTGGTCCCTGACTCATGCCCTTTCCTTGGCCTTCCTTTGAGTGGAGGGAAGGAGACTCTGAGTAGCTTGTACAAGCTTGTTATCCAACATAGGTCCAAAAACCCTATCTTTCAGTTACTTTGGTGATGCAACCTTTCCCCATAATTAGCCGGGAGGCTTTCCACAATGAGGATTACATTTACAAAGCGATCTGCTTTTAACAGATGCCTGAAATCATCCCTGTGGCAGGTACCCACTTCAGATTTTTTTAAAAAGTTGTTATTGTACTTTAATCAAATTCATATAGATTACTTAAATTGGTATTTTGCTTCAAATTATAATTTTTGCTCCTAAGATAATCTGTTGTTCAAATTATCTTAAATAGGGTATAAAGTTTTACCCTCATATGATTTTAATAGAATTTCAGGACCAGGTGAAACCTACCATTGTCCCCGAACCTTGTCCCTGCAGCCCATGACGAAGGTGTTCCAGGCCTAGCCTAGGAGTCGGAAGGACTGTGTCTTCCTTCTTTTGCCTCTTGATTGAAGTGTGTTGGGCTGCTGGGAAGCTGCGCATCCAGTTTGGGTGCTTTTCAAGCATATTTGGAAATGTGCTTGTATTACATGTGACACTTTTTCTTAAAACATTTTACTTCTTAGTGTCTCAGGACAGGATTTGGGGTTGTTTTCATTTATTGAAAGTCTTTTATTTATTGCTTATCTAAAGTAGGCCATAGCTAACAGTTGACTCATGAAAATGAAGTAAGCATTCAAAATGTTTTTTTCCTCAAAGCTAACAGCTCAACTCAGAATAGGGATATTGTAATATTAAAGTAGAGAGGCTTTTCTTTTGTGGCAAAGCTATAGGCAACTTTGAAATGTACTGGATTTAGAACAAAATTTCTATCCTCTGTTTGCAACAGCGTTAGGGCTAAAGTTTGTGGATTTATATCATCTGTCAGAGGAATGTTGTTTTAATTGGGAAAGTGTTTTATTTGAGATGTCATTCCCCTGACAGAGCAGAATGACTCATGGCTCTCTAAATGGTAGCCATTTCTAGCACTATAGCTGGATTTAGGCCCCCATTCTGTTACTTAAAGTACAGAATACAAAACTATTCAGACCTCTCCAGCACCACCAAAAACCCTTTACTTTGTTTCCTGATGCAGGTTTGAGTATCTTTTCAATTTTGACAACACCTTTGAGATCCATGATGACATAGAAGTACTAAAACGGATGGGAATGTCATTTGGCCTGGAGTCAGGCAAATGCTCTCTGGAGGATCTAAAACTTGCGAAATCCCTGGTGCCAAAGGCTTTAGAAGGTTATATCACAGGTATGTTAACTGATGCTTTCATGTGTTGTCCCTGACTAAATGTTGAATCCAAACTTGTTAAAACCTTTCTTATAGAAAATTGCAAAATTTTAGAACATCTGCGCTTGTGTCAACAGACTGAAACCTTTAACACTTTAGGACCATTTTTTCAAAAATTAGATTATATAATAGTATATAATGTTATGAAACAATCTATTTAAGCTAGGTACTGGGAATTACTAGATCTCTCTGAAGAGTCAAATGTAGTGCTGAGTGAGCCAATTTAGATGTAATAGTATATAATGTAGATGTAATTCATACATTCTTACTCCTGGGTAAAATTCCATTATATGAATATATCACAGCTTTTCTGTTTATTTTTCTGAAAATAAACCTTTAGTTTGTTTCCGATTCCTTGATGTTCAAATACAGTGCAGCTTTGAACATTCCTATACATGTATCCTAGTGACCACATGCAAACGTACAGATTGAACTTGTTAGGTCAGAGTTGGGTACATCTTCAGCTTTACTAGATGATACCAAAAATTTTCAATTTGATTTTACCAAATTACACTTTCCCCAGCAGAGTAGAAGTGTTCTATTTTCCCAATCAGGTGGGTCTGAAATTATATCATTGTAACTTTTCTAAATTGAGATTGAATTCGCATGCCATAAAATACACCATTTAAAAATGTCAGTTCAGTGGTGTTTTGGTATACCCACAAGGTTGCTAATCATCACCACTATCTAATTCCAGAATATTTTAATTTAAAAACCCAAAAAGAAACCCAAACCATTAACAGTCTTTCTCTATTCCCCCATTCTCCCTCAGCCCCTGGCAACCACTAATCTACTTTGTGTCACTATGAATTTGCCTATTCTAGACAGAGGCTTTGTGTGAACGGAACCCTACAGCATGGGGTATTTTGTGGATGGCTTCTTTCACGTAGTGTAATGTTTCGGGTTCGTTCATGTTGTAGCACCATCAGTACTTCATTCCTCTTTATTGCCAAATACTATTCCATTGTATGAATGGACCACGTTTTGTTTATCCATTCATCAGTTGGTAGACATTTGGACTGTTTCCACTTTTTGGCTATTTCGAATGATGCTGCTGTTAACGTTTTTATAAAAGTTTATATGTAAACATATGTTTTTAGCTCTAAAAACATACACCTAAGAGTGAAATGGCTGGGTCATATGGTAACTCTGTGTTTAACATTTTAAGGAAATACCAAACTGTTTTCCAAAGCTCCTGTACCACCATTTACAGTCCAACCAGCAATGGATGAGGGTTCCAATTTCTCCACATCCTTATTTACTTGTTTAGAGATGGAGTCTCACTCTGTCGCCCAAGCTGGAGTGCAGTGGCGCCGTTTGGCTCACTGCAACCTCCACCTCCCAGGTTCAGGTGATTCTCCTGCCTCAGCCTCCTGAGTACCTGGGATTACAGGTACCTTGCCACCACGCCTGGTTAGTTTTGGTATTTTTAGCAGAGACAGGGTTTCACCATGTTGGCCAGGCTGATCTGGAACTCCTGGCCTGAATTCACCTGACTCAGCCTCCCAAAGTGTTGAGATTGTACATGTGAGCCACCGTGCCTGGCCTCCACATCCTTTTCTACACTTGTCATTATATATCTTTTGAATTATAGCCATCCTCACAGAAGTGAAGTGGTATTGCTGTGAATTGCTGTGATTTTTGTCGGGGGCAAGGAAGGGTAGTGGTGGAGGGGAGAGAGTCTTGCTCTCCAGGCTGGAGTGCCGTGGCACAATCTCCGCTCACTGCAACCTCAAACTCCAAGGCTCAAACGATCCACCCACCTCAGCTTCCTGAGTAGCTGGGACCACAGATGTGTGCCACCATGCCTGGTTAAATCTTTTTTTTTTTTTTTTTTTTTGGTATGTTTGATAGAGATGGGGCTTTGCCATGTTGTCTAGGCTGGTCTCAAACTTCTGAGCTCAAGCGATCCACCTGCCTTGGCTCCCACTGTAATTTTGATTTGCATTTCCCTAATGACTTATGATGTTGAGCGTCTTTTCATGTGTTTATTGACTATTTGTATATGAACAGAAATATGTCTGTTCACATCCTTTGCCCATTTGGGTTTTTTTTTTTTTTTTTTTTTTTTTTTTTTTTTGAGACAGAGTCTTGCTCTGTTACCCAGGCTGGAGTGCAATGGCGCAGTCTCGGCTTACTGCAACCTCCACCTCCCGGGTTCAGGCGATTCTCCTGTCTCAGCCTCCCAAGTAGCTGGAATTACAGGCGCCTGCCACCACGCCTGGCTAATTTTTGTATTTTTAGTAGAGATGGGATTTCATCGTGTTGGCCAGGCTGGTCTCAAACTCCTGACCTCAGGTGATCCACCCATCTCAGCCTCCCACAGTGCATCCTTTACCCATTTTTAAATAAAGTTACTTGTCTTTTTATTGAGTTGTAAAATTATACTGAGTATACTTGAAAATAGAAGCACTATGTTTTACATGTCTTATAATTAAGATTTTTTTTACTAATTTAGAAATCTTCCTGATTTTCCTAATTCCTGAAAATATTACATATTTCGCAGATATAATTTGACTATATAGGTTAGGTGCAGTGGCTCACACCTGTAATCCCAACACTTTGGGAGGCCAAGGCAGGCATATCACTTGAGGTCAGGAGTGCGAGACCAGACTGGCCAACATGGCGAAAGCCTGTCTCTACTAAAAATGCAAAAATTAGCCAGGCATGGTGACACATGCCTGTAATTCTAGCTCTTTGAGAGGCTGGGGCAGGGAAATCACTTGAACCTGGGAGGCGGAGATTGCAGTGAACAGAGATCGCACCACTGCATTCCAGCCTGGGCAACAGAGTGAGACTCTGTGTTTTGGAAAAAAAAAAAAAAAAAATTGAATACGTAAGCAGTGATTTTGCCTTTGCTTTCTTTTGTTTCTTTCATTTGTAAGTATAACCATCTAGAATTTCACATCGCTTTTTAAAGGCATTTTAATGCTAGTTCTAAGATACATTAAATCCCATGTAAGCAAAAAGGTAGGTTTAATTTTGTTTTACTCTATGATTTGGCCCTTTGCTCACAACAGAAGAGTTTCTTGGCTGAGATCCGTTTTCTGTTTTAGTTCTTCGGTTGGCACCATTCATCCCCTGCAAGGGCCCCCCGCCTCTCCTTGCCCCTCGGCCCACCTGTTCTGTCTCCCCACCCAGCTCTCTCCCCACGCTCTCCAGCCTGGGTCCTGCTGTGTCATTGGAAGGCCAGCAGAATCTGAATAAAGGGCTTACTCAATAAATCACCAGAACTTTATTTTAGCTTACTCCCAGTGAAAAGGCTCAGGGCGATTAGGCAGGCTCTGTGGTTTTGATCTCTTCGTGACCTCATTTGCAGACTGGGATACAGACTTTCTGGTTAGTTCAAAGGAAGAAACATGTGCCTCTCGTGTGTAAAGGGGCAGAATGGCCTGGGTGGGAGTGTGAGAACCATTGTGTGGATCCTGTGATAATAGGAAAGAAATGTAGGCTTTTCCAATCCATTGTAAAAAGAGAATGTAATGTGTTATGCTCACAAACAAGTAAATAGTTGTGTTCTGACAGAAGGTTTCTATAGTTCTATATACTAATTAATATTCAGCACAGGATTCTGGCATTAATGTTATTTTCTTGTACAGACTTGTTGTTATTTAATGTATTTAAAGTCTGCTATTCTTCTTAGGCTTGAAGTCTTTTTTTTCCACAGCTGTCTCAAAGAAAAAGGTTCATAAGACGGTTTTAAAATTAGCATAGTCATTTAGTTTACTTTTTTCCTATATGGGAATGGCCTCTTGTTTGGATACCAGAGTTTCCAATCTAAATCATATAGTTTCATTTTTTTGTACAGTAATTGCAAAAAGATTTTGACTAAATTAAATCATAGCTCATTTTGGCAGATTACATTTTCTGAGTATGTGTTTGGGCTTATATAATTTCTTTTTAGGAATTACTTTTAATGTATCTACCACTTATTTTGTAAAGTGGCAGCTGGCAAAACTATACTCATTCATTCAGTAACTTTTTTGGGTTTTTTTTTTGTTTGTTTTTCTTTTGAGATAGAGTCTTGCTCTGTCACCCAGGCTAGAGTGCAGTGGCACGATCTAGGCTCACTGCAACCTCCACCTCCTGGGTTCAAGTGATTCTTCTGCCCCAGCCTCTCGTAGCTGGGATTACAGGCGTGTATCACCATGCCTGACTAATTTTTGTATTTTTAATAGAGATGGGGCTTTGCTATGTTTGCCAGGCTGGTCTTGAACTCCTGAGCTCAAGCAATCTGCCCACCTTGGCCTCCCAAAGTGCTGGGATTACAGGCATGAGCCACCGCGCCTGGCCACATTTAGATCTTACATGTTCCAGTTACTGCCTTCTTTGAGCTGACACTGTAGATGGGAAGATTAGAAGTATTAAACCAGTAAAATTACAATAAGAATTGATCAGTGTTGTCATAGGAGAAATGTGGTATATGTATAGAAAAGAAGATGGCAAGGAGATATAAAAAAATTTTTTTTTTTTTTTTTTTTTGAGATGGAGTTTCACTCTGGTTGCCCAGGCTGGAGTGCAATGGTGCAATCTCAGCTCACTGCAACCTCCGCCTCCTGGGTTCAAGCGAATCTCCTGCCTCAGCCTCCCGAGTAGCTAGGATTACAGGCATGCGCCACAACGCCCAGCTCATTCTGTATTTTTAGTGGAGGTGGGTTCTCCGCGTTGGACAGGCTGGTCTTGAACTCCCAACCTCAGGTGATCCGCCCGCCTTGGCCTCCCAAAATGCTGGGATTACAGGCATGAGCCACTGTGCCCAGCCCAAAATATTTTCTGTATACTAAAACAGTAATGTCTGTCTCCACCTCATTAAAAACATGACTGCATGTGAGTTTTTAAAAATAAGAGCTAGTTTGAATTAGAAAGCAAAGGATACCAGGAAAAATCTTGTCAGGAAAAAGAATAGGTATTTGATGAGTAGCAGCATTGAGTTCACCAGCAGCAGGCACCTGAAAAGACACTGCGGCAGGGGTTTTGGCCAAAACAGATCTGTCTGCCCTCTATGCAGGGTGGCCTTCTTACCTCATGTATTTCTGATTTGATTTTCTCTTTTCCCACTTCTGGCTTTGGCTGTCAACACCACAGTCCAGGTCTTTTGTGGTGAGGGCAGCCCAGGCATTGAGGATGGTACACTGGGCTGCATCCCATGGGCTGTGCTCTGGAGGGCTTATCTAAGAAAAAGAGTAAGAAAGCGCCTGTGAGTGTTTTCATTTGAATACCTTCTCTCCATAAGCTGCCTTCCCGTATTTTTTTTTCCTGCTCTTGTGTTCTAGAGTTTCTTTTTCTTCCAAGAAGATGAAGAAACCTGGGTTCTTCTCACAGCAAGAGAATTGTCTCGCTGTCATGAAGAATAAGCTTAGTTCTTGCTCTTCTGTGCTTTCTTCAGACTGTAACAACAGCAGCCACAAAACTTGCAGGACCGACATTTTTTGTTCTCATTTTTTCCTTTAGATATCTCCACAGGACCTTCTTGGTTAAATCAGGGACTACTTCTGAACTCTACCCAATCAGTTTCAAATTTAGACCTGAACACTGGTGCCACCTTACCCCAGTCAAGGTACGTATTTTTTTCAGGGTTAGAAAGGCAAACCCCAGAGCCCTGACTGTCTGTGTAGGGGTGAGCCGGGGTCATGTTACTGCCAGCACAGGTCCTGCTGAGCAGGTTTGTGGCAGATCTCACCAATGGCACCTCCTTCCTATGTTTTTATTCCTATATTTTACAAAACTGTTTATACCACATTAATGAGCCTGTGTGTTTTTAATTGTTTGCTAGTGTAAACCAAGGGTTATGCTTGGATGCAGAAGTGGCCTTAGCAACTGGGCAGTTCCTGGCCCCAAACAGTCACCAGTCCAGCAGTGCAGCCTCTCACTGCTCCGAGTCCCGAGGCGAGACCCCCTGTTCGTTCAATGATGAAGATGAGGAAGATGATGAGGAGGATTCCTCCTCCCCAGAATAAAGACAAGAGAAAGCCTACGTTTCAATATGTGATGCTCATGTGTGTTTGTAGTGTGAGCTCTTGTTTTTGAAATGATTGCTTCAGTCTTTGCCTTTGTTTGCACTGTGTGTTCAGTGAAAACTAGAGAAACACAATAAGCAAATCACATGAAGGCTGAGATGATTGAGATGAAAGTTAACATAGTGTGAATGAAAGTCTGGCCAACAGAGCAGTAGATGATATAACAAACAAAGCATGCTTTCTGAGGAGCTAGTGGGGATAATTCCTGAAGAGTTGGCAGTGTGAGTGTGCTCATTTATCTTCTGTGAGGTGGGATTTTTGTGTTCCTCACACCCATGTAATTATTCTTAGAATTGAGATTGCTACACAGAGCAGTCCTTGACGATCATGTTTCTGACGTTTCTCTTCCCTGCCTGGACTGCCTTTGACAAGGCGGAAATGAACATGAAAAGTCCCCACGAGAGGGGAGCTGTGTAGTGAGGGATACTGAGGGCAGTCCTGTGGCCGAGGGGCACAGATTGAACTGCTGAACTAGTTGGAGGTCTAGTTAAGGTGCTTTATGCATCAGCTGCCTTAGACAGCTTCTAGAAAGGAGCAAGCGCTACTTCTTAAGTACTTGAGTGACATTTAGATAATTTATAGTAAAACTGAAATTATTATTAGCCAATGCATTGATGCATAGAATTTACTAGGGCTACTTCTGGAAGCCAAAATAGAATAGCATTTCCATGTGCATTAAATACTTTGCCAGCACTGCCTTTTGCCAGCATCCTAAATCTGGAGTTTTATAAAGAGGGAAAATGTATCTTTAGGTTAATCAAAGCTATGCATTTCATATAGCTTTTTCATTTAAAACAAGACAAATTCCTATGACCAAATTGCTTGCCTACAGTTCCCTGCAGCAATTGTATGCTCTCACCCAGTGTGCAATTTGTGAAGATGAACCAAATGTCATTACTTTTGTCTTAAAGAAAAGTCTATTTCAAGAATATGAACAGCAATGTTTCCTTCTACATGTCACCTTTTTTCACATTTTCATTAGTCAGAATGACCTTATTGAACCTACTCCTGGGGTCAGTTGCATTTCAAACTAATCCAATATTTAGTGTTTCACAGAAACACTGGAAAACTGAACACTCCTACTGCCTGGATATATGGTAGTGCAGTTATGTTGTTTATGGCTCAAGATGTCATTAGAAATACTGCAGTGGTGTATTCACAACTGCTTCTTCTCTGAAAGAGTGTAGGGACATCTGCCACCATGGCCAGACCCTGAATTTCACATTAAGGCCTTGGAAAGGAGCAAATAATAATGGGAAAATTAACTCCAAAACTTTGACCTGAATCATGTGGATTTATCCCAAGATGATGCTAGATGCACCAAGCATGGCCCAAATTGGTTCTTTTTTAAATCCCTTGGGGGAAGTGCAGGCTTCTTCCTGTGGTGCCTCTTTCTAGCCCCACCACCATGTTGACAGTGAGCCTGGTGAGGAGGAGAAAGCTTTGGCTAGCTAAACATGTTTAATAAGGCCATAAAAACTGAGAAAGAAAAACATTCAACTTTAGCTGGAGCTCCTTTGATACAAAAGTCTCATTCTGTCAGAAATAAGCCATAGTACAGACTCAGAGATAGAGGCAGTTTCTAGAGAACTTGGTCTTATCGTGGGTTCTGGAGCATACCTCTCAGACTAGTCAGGAACACCGGGGAGGTGACAGCAGGTCCCCAGGGACCTGCAGGGGACATTTCAACTGCATGGATCGGGATTTCCCTCCAAACCAACTATCCTTTAAGGGGCAGCCTCCTCTTTTACTAACTTCACCCTTTCTCATCTCTGGGACCCAGCAGGGACCTGGAGAGGCCAACGGCCACAGCTACCTTTGTAGTCTTCAAAATATTGAACTGCAGGTCCCAAGATGCATTTCAGAATTTAAGACAGGTACACTAATGATAATCATTCCTTCACCAAATAGCAACATTCTTGCCAGAGTTCTTGGGAACCTGTTTTCTTCTCTACTCTCCATCTCTGCTACTCTCATGCTTTAAATTGATAAAATATGGGCTTAAAAAAAGCCGCCAAAGACTCTTATCCTTATTGGTGCCCCACCATTAGCCACCCCAGCCATAGGTGTGTGCTGTTGGTGGGAACAGTCTCTTCCTCAGCGTTGTGTTTGGGTTACTGTTGAGGCTGCCTCACAGAGTGACATCGTGGTCACCAGTATATGTCACTGGAGTAAAATCTTGCCTTTAGAAACTGGGTTGAGCTGTTTAGAAAGGCCAATTCTCTTCTGTATTCCCCCTCAACATTTATCTGGGTCCAAAGCTCAGCACTGAGTCACAATTTCACACAAAATTAAAGTGAAGCAGTGTTAGGAAACTGGGGACTAGGTGCAGCGCCTCTCGCCTGTCATCGTAGCACTTTGGGAGGCCGAGGCAGGCACATTGCTTGAGCTCAGGAGTTCAAGACCAGCCTGGGCAACATGACAAAACCCTGCCTCTACAAAAATATAAAAATTAGCCTTGTGTGGTGGGGCATGCCTGTTGTCCCAGCTACTCAAGAGGCTGAGATGGGAGGATTGCTTGAGCCCAGGCGGTGGAGGTTGTAGAGAGCCAAGATCACACCACTGCACTCCAGCCTGGGTGACAGAGCAAGACCCTGTCTCAAAAAAAAAAAAAAAAAAAAAGGTGGGGGCTGCCGGGAGGGAAGTTGTGGTTCCAATGCCCAGGCTGCTTTGTTATAGTGGCACGTGGGGTTACTTGCCATACACAGATCACTCCTCCCCGGGGTGCTGGCACACACTGATTGTGGGGAGTTCAAGAGGCCTTTTCCCCTTGAGGGTGAGTGTGGCTGTCCCCCTTTCAAGCGTGTGGCATCACTCACTGAAGAAATGCTGGCTCTATTTAGCACATGCACAGTGGCACTAGGACCTGCGTGTCTGGCCCTCACTGGGAAGGCCGGTGCCGCCTAGGCACACAGCAGCGCTTATGGGCCCCAGGTGCCTACCACACTGCCTTCCTCTTCCCCGCTGTCAGTCTGTCTCCTCCACGTGCTCGTTTCCTGTGGTGAGAGCAGTTGTGGTGTTTGTATACCTTGTGCCTTATGATCAAGGTGGGCCTTGGAGGAAGGCGGGAAAGCAGGGGCCAACATGGCGGTCCTCCACCCCTCAGCCACACCCACCGCCCAAGAAACTACAGAGGATGGCCACATGTTTGGCGTCCTTCAATTTATTTCTTTAAAGAAGTGATGGGAATAAAAAGCTATGTGGTTTCTGCCATTTTAGCAGGATAAAGAGGATAACTCCTTCCGTTAGCAAATTTTACAGTTATAAAAGTACTCTGCCATATTTGGAAAATAATGCCAGGGTCAGACCTTGAAAACAAAGTAGCTCCTGTCAGATAATTCAAATGGAAATATTTCTTTCCTTTTTTTTTTTGAGACGGATTCTCGCTCTGTCGCCCAGGCTGGAGTGCAGTGGCGATCTCGGCTCACTGCAAGCTCCGCCTCCCGGGTTCACGCCATTCTCCTGCCTCAGCCTCCCGAGTAGCTGGGACTGCAGGCGCCCGCCACCACACCTGGCTAATTTTTTGTATTTTTAGTAGAGACGGCGTTTCACCGTGTTAGCCAGGATGGTCTCAATCTCCTGACCTTGTGATCCGCCCGCCTCAGCCTCCCAAAGTGCTGGGATTACAGGCGTGAACCACCGCGTCCAGCCTCAAATGGAAATATTTCACAGAGGAGTGGCTCAGTTTAGCCCTGCAAGACATCTGTAACTGCTAAACCACAACTCTTTATGGCTATTTGGGTCATAGAGACAGCAGAGTTGCTCCAAGTATAGATGTGACTTAGGCTCCCTCTAGCACAGTGTGTGTGTTGGAGGGAGTGTGGATTAGCAGAGGATGAGAACTACCTCAGCGATTCCTGCCATAACCACACTGAGAGAGGGGGGCGCTGGGGGAAAAGCCTATTTAGCCTTGTTTTTGGCGGTGGGGTGGGGGACGGAGTCTCGCTCTGTCGCCAGGCTGGAGTGCAGTGGTGCGATCCCGGCTCACTGCAATCTTTACCTCCCAGATTCAAGCGATTCTCCTGCCTCAGCCTCCGGACTAGCTGGGATTATAGGCGCATGTCGCCATGCCTGGCTAATTTTTTGTATTTTTAGTAGAGTCGGGGTTTCACCATGTTGCCCAGGTTGGTGTCAAACTCCTGACCTCAGGTGATCCGTCCGCCTCAGCCTGCCGAAGTGCTGGGATTACAGTTGTGAGCCACCGCGCCTGGCTCTATTTAGCTTGTAAAAAAGTATTTCATTTCAAGGGCGCTTTAATACTATCAAGCTCCCTCCCCTAACAAAATGGGCTGTCCCTGCCCAACAAGTCTGTGAAGTAGACCTTAAAACTGTGCTGCCTTAGTGGTAAGTAAGGGGTGAGGGTTGGACAGTGAATCTTAATATTTCATCCTTCAGTTAGTAAGCATTTGAGTACCTACTGTGCGCAGGCATTGGGGCGGAACAGCGAGAGCCCTGCCGTTGTTGGATTCTCCTCCTACTGGGGAAATATGATCACAGATGGAACACGTGCAGATTGATGAGTGCTGTGGAAAAAACAGCAGCGTAGTGGGACCCTTTGGGAAAGGCTACTTTGGCTGGGGGTGGCCGGGGAGGCCCCTCTGGGAAAGAGACAGTTTTACTGAGTCAGACAGTGGAAAGACAGATGTCTCTATACTTTCTTAACAAGCCACTCTGTCCCATAACATGCACTTGGAATCTCTCCTAAGTTCCAGAGGCCCCACTGTTCCAGTTTCAAGCCTTCAGGTTGGAGTCTGTACAGGAACTTTTAAGACTTCAAAGCAAAGTTAGCTACCAGCAGTTTCTGTAAACCAAGAGAAGATTCTAACAAAGGTTCACTACTTTCCAACTGAATCTATGCAGTAGAAAAATCATTAGAAAATACAAAAATTAGGCTGGCGTGGTGGCACACGCCTGTAGTCCCAGGTACTAGGGAGGCTGAGGCAGGAGAATCACTTGAACCCAGGAGGTGGAGGTTGCAGTGAGCCAAGATCTGCCACTGCACTCCAGCCTGGGTGACAGAGCAGGACTCTGTCTCAAAAAAGAAAAAAAGAAAAATGATTAGAAATTGAGAACTATTTTCCATGTTTCTAAGTTGTTGGCTATATCAAAGAGATCATCTCTATTCTGCATATGGGCTGGCTTTGGTGAAGCTGATGACTGGATTTCTAAGAACCGTTTTCCCAAGTGGGTTCCCATATTCATGCACCCAAAGCAATGGTCCCAAGCACTGATGAAAACTAATATGCATTTCCCAAAGACCCACACTATTTATCAGGAGCCTGCACCATGCCATTTGAATGACCCTCAGCAATGTGCCTCCCTGCCCTCAAATTCCCAGTTGATAACAGTGTTTGGTTAAACTTCCACTCAAGCCAAACATGGTTACTAAGAAGAGAAAAGCCTGATGTTTGCATATTTTTTTCCCCTCGAGATGGAGTCTTGCTCTGTTGCCCCAGCTGGAGTGCAGTGGCACGATCTCAGCCACTGCAACCTCTGCCTCCAGGGTTCAAGCTATTCTCCTGCGTCAGCCTTCCAAGTAGTTGGGATTACAGACATGTGCCACCATGCCCGGCTAATTTTTGTATTTTTAGTAGAGACGGGGTTTTACCATGTTGGCCACGCTGGTCTTGAACTTCTGACCGTGTGATCCGCCCACCTTGGCCTCCCAAAGCGCTGGGATTACAGGCTTAAGCCACCGCGCCCAGCCTAAGATTTTACAATTAAAAAAAAATTCAAGCTCAATACCCACATAAATTATAACATTTCTCAGGAAATAGTCCCTTAACCAAAATGTATCTGAGAAGTTATGCTTAGATAATCGCTGGGATCCGATTTTTCCACGTCTCACTCCACAGTATGCTAAAGAAGAAAAAGGGAGTGGGCACAACAACACTTAGACCATCTGGCTAAGCCCTGGGAGTCCCCAACAGGTCCAGAAACTTCTCTGACACCCATTCACAAGGGTGCTGAGATAGGAGAAAGTACTAATTTATAACGTGTATTCTGTGCAGCTGTTCTCAGACAAGGCCGGATCTTGTCATCTTACCTTTTGCTTTACAAAAAAGGCCTGTTGAAGCCAATGCTGTCTTGCCCCTTGCTATTTCAGCAGATTAGACTTTGGTCTTCCCTGCTTCTAGCTGCATCGGAGGCCATACTAGCTGACGCTCAGGGTCAGGCCTCGCCCCTTCGCCGCAGGTCTCGGGATAGGGGAGAGCAGAGATGGGAAGCAAGCAAGAGCTTGACTTGCTTCCCGTCCCTCAGCCTGTCTGTGGCAGAGCCTGCACCAAAACCCAGAGCTGCTTCCCTCCGTGAGGGCCACGCTGTCACCACAGTCCTGCCAGACAGGTTTTGGATTAGCATCAGTCCTGTGTCACCAAGTGCCAAACAGCTGAGGGGCAGAAGCGGGACTCCTCTCCTGAGCCCCAGCATGAGGCCGTGGTGTCAGGTTTAGGCCTCTCTCAAGTCAGAAAACCCCGGGCTGAGACCTCCACAGACAAGGACTCCCCACGCTGGCCATTGGCAGGGACCCAAGGAGTTCAGTGACCAACTGGTCCTTCCACACACCAGCTGCTGCTGCCCATGACTTGTCGAATCATAACAGGGAAGCTTCCCCAGATCACGTTTGGATTTAAAAACTCATCCCTTGTCATGCCTCACTGCATGCCATTTGTCACCATACTTCATCATGGCCAAGCTTCATGTCACACGGCCTGGTGATTGTGCTTGTTCACACTGGGGCCAGGGTTTTCATACTAAAATGTCACTGACGATGGGGCTACTTTTCTCCTGAATAGCTCCTCTGGGCTTGTTGCAGTTCTATTTTTGCCAGCAGTACCGTGACAGGGTCAACCTCTCTGTCCTGAAAAATGGAACCCCCCTACTAAGCATACGCACTGGCTGCCCAGGCGGCTGCACTCCGGGGATCACGTTTCAATACTGAGTTCCTTCATGCACTTGGTTCACCGCCATCATCCTTGAGTTTTGGACAAAAGAGGTGGGTATGTCGGGCGCGGTGGCTCACGCCTGTAATCCCAGCACTTTGGGAGGCCGAGGCGGGAGGATCACCTGAGGTTGGGAGTTCAAGATCAGCCTGACCAACATGGAGAAACCCTGTCTCTACTAAAAATATAAAATTAGCCAGGTGCGGTGGCGCATGCCTGAAATCCCAGCTACTCGGGAGGCTGAGGCAGGAGAATCGCTTGAACCCCGGAAGCAGAGGTTGCAGTGAGGCAAGATCGTGCCATTGCACTCTAGCCTGGGCAACAAGAGCGAAACTCCATCTCAAAAGAAAAAGAAAAAAAAGCGGTGGGTAAAGGGCCGTGAGAGCCCAAATCACTAGGTTGTTCACCTTTTCATCTGAAGATGCTTTCCTCTGACTATGTGCTATTGGGTTTTATTTCCAGAAAATATAGTTCTCCTTTTTTCTGCATGAAGGATACATCATGGTGCCACATGCTTTAAGCATTTTAAACAAGAGATAAGAGGAAAATGCAACCACCACATCTGACTTGCCCAACGTAGACTTTTCTCTATTAGATGGAAGTACACAACCTAATATGATATATTATTTTGTAGTATCTCAGACTTTGTAAATAAATACCATTATTTTTATATGGAAATTTTATAGAAGAGCTATTTCTGTATACGTAATTATTCCTGGATTTTCTGAAATCGCTTCTGGTAGATAACAGACAAGTCCTAAGCAGTGTTCCACTAAGGGTGGTTCCAGGCCTGCCTGCCGTGGAGTTGACTGGGGGAGTTTTACAGTTTTGTGATCCTAGGATGTGTCCCACACGCTCAGTCAGAAGCACTGGAGGTGGGGCCTGGGAAGCTGTATTTGTAATGAACTCTGATGTTTTTTATCCATTAAAGTGTATCTCTGTCCATCCTATAAGATTAAAAGAAAGAAAAAGCATCTCAAATGAGTGTAAGTTGTTCTTGAGAAAAAAAATGTATCAGACGTTTATGATTTGAATGAAATGTATTATAGAAAAAAATAAACACTTTAAAATAATGTTAGTCTCATTACTAGTGGGTCAGAAAGTTTTTAGTTTAAAAAGGAGGTGTTAGGCCAAGGGCAGTGGCTCACGCCTAAAACCCCAGCACTTTGGGAGGCCAAGGTGGGCGTATCATTTGAGGTCAGGAGTTCGAGACCAGCCTGGCCAACATGGTGAGACCCCATCTCCACCAAAAATACAAAAATCACCTGGGTGTGGTGACATATGCCTGTAATCCCATCTGCTCGGGGCAGGAGAATCACTTGAATCCGGGAGGTGGAAGTTGCAGTGAGCCAATATGACACCACTGCACTCCAGCCTGGGCAACAGAGTGAGACTCCATCTCAAAAAAAAAAAAAGGCTTTTTTTTGTTTTTTGTTTTTGTGATGGAGTCTCTGTTGCCCAGGCTAGAGTGCAGTGGTGCGATCTCGGCTCACTGCAACCCCCACTTCCTGGATTCAAGGTATTCCCCTGCCTCAGCTTCTTGAGTACCTGGGATTATAGGCACGTGCCACCACACCTGGCTAATTTTTGTATTTTTAATAGAGATGGTGTTTCACCATGTTGACCAGGATGGTCTCCAACTCCTCGCCTCAAGTGATCCTCCCACCTCAGCCTCCCAAAGTGCTGGAATTAAAATAAAAAAGAACAATAGGCTAGGTGCGGTGACTCACGCTTGTAATCCCAGCACTTTGGGAGGCCGAGGTGGGCGGATCACTTGAGGCTAGGAGTTTGAGACCAGCTTGGCCAACATGGTGAAACCCCGTCTCTACTAAAAATACAAAAAATTAGCCAGGTGTGGTGGTGCATGCCTGTAATCCCAGCTACTCAGGAGGCTGAGGCAGGAGAATTACTTGAACTCAGGAGGCAGAGGCTGCAAGGAGCAGAGATTGCACCATTGCACTGCAGCCTGGGCAACAAAAGCGAAACTCTTTCTCAAAAAAAAAAAAAAAAAGAAAAGAAAAATGAACAATAAAATACTGGTGGGCTGTTTGGGTGAGGGTAGTGGGTACTCTGGGGCTCTGCCAGAGAGTCAGGACTGAGACCCTCTTTCAACATCTGAGTTCCTCTTCATGAATTGCCCTCAGAAGGGAGGCCAGGGCCGGGCGCTGTGGCTCACACCTGTAATTCCAACACTTTGGGAGACCGAGGCAGGCGGAGCACAAGGTCAGGAGATGGAGACCATCCTGGATAACATGGTGAAACCCCGTCTCTACTAAAAATACAAAAAATTTAGCCAGGCGTGGTGGCAGGCACCTGTAGTCCCAGCTACTCGGGAGGCTGAGGCAGGAGCATGGTGTGAACCCGGGAGGCGGAAATTGCACCACTGCACTCCAGCCTGGATGACAGAGCGAGACTCCATCTCAAAAAGAAAAAAAAGAAATACAAAAATTAGCCAGGCATGGTGGCGGGCGCCTGTGGTCCCAGCTACTCGGGAGGCTGAGGCAGGAGAATGGCGTGAACCCAGGAGGCGGAGCTTGCAGTGAGCCAAGATCGCGCCACTGCGCTCCAGCCTGGGCGACAGAGCAAGATTCCATCTAAAAAAAAAAAAAGAAGGGTGGCCAGGTGCCATGGCTCACCCCTGTAATCTTAGCACTTTTGGGAGACTAGGCCCAGAAATACTTCCCTACAATTAGTGGGGAAGATGCTTTCTTATCGTCTCTTACACCAAACCAGCATCAGAGAGAACAGCGACAGCAGTCAATACAAAACGCCATGTCCCCAGGCCTCAGGTGGAATGTCACCTGGCCTCCGGAACATAGCACTCCCTCAGCACCTGATAACGCAGTCTCCACCTGTCTCAGGCAGAGGCCGGAACTCTAGATAACCTATCTCCTATGTTCCAACAAGTCGAGCATATGGACAGTCAGAAGGCACAGAAGGGCATGGAGCAATTCAGGGACCAGCAGAAAGACCCAGGTCTTGAAAAGGAGATGGCTAAGTAAGCACTCGATGACATGTTGGAAGGAATGCATCTTCCCATAAAGACTCGCCCTGGAGTTTCACAGACCAAGTAAGGGTGGTGGGCGGGGGGGAAGTGGTGAGCCTGTGCTCACGCCCTTACCCTGGGGGTCTCCTGGAGTGGTGAGCTGAGCTGGTGTTGTGCCTTCTCCGTTCCTCCCAGCCTAGAGGAGCCACTTGCAAGTGCCGTTTGATGAAGGTGTCCAAGGACACCTTGGTTACAGTGGAGTAACCACGGGATCACTTGGGCTTAAGAGGGTGCTTTTGTTCTTGTGGCCACATGGGGGATGGCACAGCGACTGAATACACCGCTGACCAGGGGCGGTATCTGCGAGCCCACAGAGTTGGCTATGAAGAGACAAACTTATTCCGAGCCAAATATGAGTGACGATGGCCCCTGATACAGCCCTCAGGAGGCCCAAGAACACGTATCCAAGGTGGTCAGGGTGCAGCTTGGTTTTATACATTTTAGGGAGACATGAGACTTCACTCAAGTATGTTTAAAAAATACATTGGTTCGGTCCAGAAAGGTGGGACAACTCAAAGGTGGGGTCGCTTCCAGCTCATAGGTAGATTTAAAATTTTTCTGGTTGACAATTGGTTGAGTTTATCTGAAAACCTGGAATCAATAGAAAGGAAATGTCTGTGTTAAGATAAGGGATTATGGAGACCAAATGTCGCAGGCTTCAGAGAATAGATGGTAAATGATTCTTATCAGTAAGGTCTGCGTTGATGTTAATACCAGCGGGTATAATGAGGCACTTCCCGTTCATGGCGGGAACCAGTCTCTGAGGTTACATTTTAAGAGCGCCCTGGCCAAGGAGAGAGTCCATTCAGATGGTTGCGGCGTAGGACTTAGAATTGTATTTTTGGTTGACAGAGTTGTTTAATTCCATGCTCAGCTTCTTGAGCCTCAGAGAGAAGACAGCTTCAACGCAGAGCCTTCTCCAGAAGAAAGAACCCGACTGACAGCTTGCTTTCTTCTGTTCCTACTCCCAGAGCTATGGCTGTGTTTTCTCCATTCCTTTTTTTTTTTTTTTTTTTAGGCAGCGTCTTGCTCTATCGCACAAGCAGGAGTGTAATGGCGCAATCTTGGCTCACTACAACCTCCACCATGCCCGGATAATATTTTCTATTTTTAGTAGAGACGGGTTTTCACCATGTTGGCCAGGCTGGTCTCAAACTCCTGACCTCAAGTGATCCACCCGTCTCAGCCTCTCAAAGTGCTGGGATTACAGGCGTGAGCCACCGCGCACAACCTCCATTCCTTCTCCTAGGGGAGCTGCTTCTGTAGTTCTGTGCGTCTTCTCAGAGCACTGGCTCTTCTCACTGAAGCTTGCACCTGAAGACACCGCCAGCTTTCCCAGTTTCTTGCCAGATGAAGGCTCCATCTGCCGGTCTTCCTGTGGACAGCTGCCAAATGCCCAGGGGCTCCCTGATCACTGCCAGCTCAGCCTCCTCTGAGAGGCCTTTCCAGCCTCTTGCTGAAATTTGCTTTCAGGAGAGCATCTCAGTAGAAAATGCACAGTGGTGAAGGAAGTCCTGCAGTCGGGGAGGGTGGGGGGGCACAGCCGATCCGGTTAATGCAGAGCAGCATTTGTCTATCCACTTTCTCACTTTCATGCAAATTGCTTCAGGACATTTTTGCCATTTCCTTCTTGCGTTATCTCCCGCCTTGGCTAAGGGGCCTAAAGTACTGTGACACATTTTACTAAGGTCAGGAAATTTGTTTTCCTCGTTCATGCCCTACCTACCACTTGGTCACGGCTCTCAAAAGCCGAAACTCAATCATGAGAAGTTTGTGCACTGAAGTCCAAAAATGACAATCCCGAAAGGTCCCATCTCCACAGGAAGGACTTTCTGGTTCTGCTAATACATAGATTTGCTTTCAAACCTCTAGCAAAGGTTCTCCTCAATCTGAATACAACAAAAAGTACTTTTACAGGATGATTTTTTTCCTTGCAGAGACAAGGTCTTGCTTTGTCACTCAGGCTAGAATGCAGTGACACCATCGCAGCTCACTGTAACCTCGAATTCCTGCACTCAAGTGGTCCTCCCACCTCAGTCTCCACAGTGGCTGTGGACTACAGGTGTGCACCACCACACCTGGCTTGTTCTTTATTTTTGGTAGAGACAGGGTCTCACTATGTTGCCCATGCTGGCCTCAAGAGATCCTCCTGCTTCAGCCTCCCAGAGTGCTGGAATTATAGGCACAATGTATTTTTAAAACTTTAAAACATCTACAGGATTTATTTTTTAAAATTTAAAACATCTAGGTTTTGTTTGCTTTTTTTTTTTTGAGACGGAGTCTGGCTCTGTCGCCAGGCTGGAGTGCAGTGGCAAGATCCCGGCTCACTGCAACCCCCACCTCCCAGGTTCAAGAGATTCTCCTGCCTCAGCCTCCTGAGAAGCTGAGACTACAGGCACCCGCCACCACACCCAGCTAATTTTTGTATTTTTAGTAGAGACGGGGTTCCACCATGTTGGCCTGGATGGTCTCAATCTCTTGACTTTGTAATCCACCCGCCTCAGCCTCCCAAAGTGCTGGGATTATAGGCATGAGCCACCGCGCCAGGCTTACTGCAGCCTCCGCCTCCCGGGTTCAAACAATTCTCCTGCCTCAGCCTCCCAAGTAGCTAGGACTACCGGCATGTGCCACCACACCTGGCTAATTTTTGTATTTTTAGTAGAGACAGAGTTTTGCCATGCTAGTCAGGCTGGTCTCGAGCTCTTGACCTCAAGTGATCCGCCCACCTCGGCCTCCCAAAGTGCTGGGATTACAGGAGTGAGCCACCGCGCCTGGTCATGTCTGCTTTTTGTGACAGGTCACTAGAGTAGCGACAAAGCCATTTTGACAACAGAACAGTGCGGGCTTTTCTGCATGAAAGACTCTGGCCAATCTTACAATCAGCTAAAAAACACTTTCCTCAAGTATTACCAAAATTCAGTTTATAAATCATGACTAAGAGTGGAAGATGGGGCTGGGCATGATGGCATGTGCCTGTAATCCCAGCTACTCGGGAGGCTGAGGCAAGAGAACAGCTTGAACCTGGGA